CCACAGTGCACATAGGAAACTAAAGCACGAGGGGGCTGCATGGTTTGCAAAAAAACATATAGCACACACATCAATTGCATAAAAATACCATATACACACATACAGACATGCAGCCTCAGAAGCAGGAGGGTTTTTAGACCTCAAACCTCAAACATCATATTAAATACTAATCCTCGCCTGGCATTACCTTGGTTGTATTTTCACCATTTCTTTCATACTGATTTCGTTGTTGAATTTTCTCAGCAATCTGTTGGGCAATTTGACAAGTAGAATCATATGCGGAGAACCTGCAACAAAGTCATAAAAGTAGAAAAATGTTTAAGGCTCTTTAAAAGAAATCTTTGTATTATCTAAGTTTAAGTTTTTAATTCTAGTCATGAATTTGAACTTCTGAGGTGGGCAACAGAAGTTTAGGAAGAGAGGATAATAATAATAACAATAATAAAAGCTAAGCCAAACTCACTGCCATCAAGTCGATTCAACTCACAGAGACCCCTCCTTGGGTTTCTGAGGCAGTATCTCTACAGAAGTAGATTGCCCAATCTTGTAATAAATGGTACTTACTCTGTGTCAGGCACTATTCTGAATGCTTCGTTTGTAATAACTCACCTAATACACACAAAGAATGTTATTTTAAAAGAGTACCATTTCAAAAGAGATTTAAAAGAGTACTATTCTAGCTCCATCTTACCTGTGAGAAAAGGAGACCCAAAAAGAGTTAGTGACTTGCCTAAGTGGTCTGCCAAGTTCCAACCAAAGCTGTCTGACCCTAGTGCTTATGTTCTTAACTGCTTCCTTATTCTGCCTGTGACCAAACCTTTGTATTCATTCATTCGTGAAAAAGTCAAAAGAAAGGGCCTCCTCTGTACTGAGCACTGTTCTAGGCCATGAAGAAAATAGCAGACCAGAGATCTAGCAAGATGGCAGAAAAGGCAGAAATGCTACACAGACCCTCTGCAATAACAATGAGAAAACAATTGAAACCAATACAGAAGACAATCTTGGAAGCCTGAGTTTTGAAGGCAAGGATAAAGAAATGGATTAAATACCAACTAGTAGAACTTGGGAAACCCAAGGAGAGGTTGCTATGAGTCAAATCTGACTTGATGGCAGTGAGTTTGTTTGTGGAGTAGAACTTGAATGAAAACAGTGAATAAGGAGACAAATGGAGCTGCAGACTGTCAGCTGTACTGAGGGCACAACCAATTGAATATATCCCAGTAGCAACCTAAGAATTGGCTTTGCTCACCAAAGACTACATGGGCAAGGACTGCATTGGGGCCTGACAGCCAGAAAGAAAAACAGCAAAGAAGGAGACAAACAGACCTGTGGGCTGCAGCAACTGTCCTAAGGATGCACCCATTTTGAATATTCCAAGTGGTGGATGCAACCATCTTGAATACACACAAGTGGCACTCTTACCTGGTCTGCAACATAGCAGTGGGTCCTGCTTGCCGAGGATGGCATGGACCACCACACTGGAGGCTGACAACTGGAAAGCTGTGATAGTCCCTTGTTACTCTCATACCCCACACCCTCTTGGTGAACTGAGGTATGAACATCCGCTGCCTCCACCCACATTCTTGACCAACAGGAATTCCACCTGGTCTGTGCCCTGACAGAGCCTAGATGCCATGCCCCACTCCCCACAGTTTTGTTCTTGATTGTTTGTTTTTAAACTATTCTTTTCATCTTCCTCTTTGTTCTTCTTTTTTTTCTCTCTTTCCCATCCCTCATTCTTGTTTTTTTCTTTTATTCTCTTCCCTTTTCCCATATCCCCCATTTCCCCCTTTTTTTTTGGTTCTTCCTATGTCTTGTTTTTCCTTTGCAGTTTTCCATTTTTTTCTTTACTATTTTTTTTACTCTTGCTCTTTTCTCTCATTCCTCCTGCCACAAATATTGTGATGTTTTATTCTTTTCTCTTTTTCTCATCTTTCTTTTATCTTTTTTAAATATATTTTGGAAAATTTTCTTCACATTTATTGCATTTCTTTTCCTTTCTCCCCCCGTCTCCCCCCCGCCCCCGGCACATTGTTCCTGTTTATTTATGCAGTTTGAGTTTTTGGTTCTCTTGCTTTTATTTTTTTGGTTGTTGTTGTTTGTTTTTTGGTGTATTTTTAAATGTTTTTTTGTATAACTGAGTGGAAGAGAGCAACTGTTCCAACACAATCCAACCATACCTGCAACTCCTGCAGCCCCACCAAATGAGGGCCACCACTTGTTTTTGCACCAAATGACCAACAACAGACAGCAGCCAATACCAGCTCAACTCACCCTGAAGTGTTTCTTACAAACAGCTAACAGAGATCTGTGCACACACTCTCATTCTCTTTCACAGATTAAATATAAATATAACACCACCACAATGTCTTGGAGGCAACAGACCATCACATTCCACACAAAGAAGCAAGATAAAGATATAAGCAAGGGACCATGATACAAACTCAGAAAACATCCCTGAGGAAGCAGCAGCACTGAAAGTCCTTGATAAGGAATTCAAAAGAATTATATTTTGGTATCTTCAACAGATTGAGAGACAGATCAAGGAAAACACTTACAAGATCATGGAAAACACAGAAAATAAAGGAGAACACAGACAAAGCTCTAGAACAATCTGGAAAATGATACAAGAACAAATTGACAAAATAAATTAAAAATCAAAAACTATACAAAAACAACAAACAGAAATCCAGAAGATTAATACTAAGATTTCAGAAATAGGTAACACATTGAAGTGGCAAAGGAGTAGAATAGAATCAATGGAAGGCAGAATTACTGAGACTGAAGACAAATACCTCAATACTACTTTGGTAAGGGATCAGTCAGACAAAAGATTAAAACAAATGTAAAAAGCCTAAGATTCATGTGGGATACCATCAAGAGGAATAACTTATGTGTAACTGGAATTCCAGAACAGGAAAAAACAAATAAAACCACAGAGAAAATTGTCAAAGATTCCTTGGAAGAGAATTTCCCTAACATGATGAAAGACGAGAATATAGCCATTCAAGAAGTTCAATGAATCCCAAAAAGCATAGATCCCAAAAGAAAATCATCAAGACATATCATAATCAAGCTCACCAAAACCAAAGACAAAGAAGAAATCCTGAAAGCAGCATGGGAAAAATGGAAACTTACCTATAAAAGGCAACCAATAAGACTAAGCTCTGATTTCTCAGCAGAAACCAGGCAGGCGAGAAGGTAATGGGATGATATATATAAAACCCAGAAAGAAAAAAATCTCCAAGCAAGAATTATATACCCAGCAAAATTGTCTATCAAATATGAGGGTGAAATCAGATTTCCAGATAAGCAGAAATTAAGGGAATTTGTTAAAACCAGATCAACCTTATAAGAGATGTTAAAGAGAGTCCTTCCGATAGAGAACCAATAATAGCAAACATAACCAATGATTAACACACATGATGACATAACCCAGAAACCAACCCAGTTATGGAAGTACTTGAAGTAGAATAAACTTACAAGACTGTCAACAGGGAATCAGAGACATCAATTAGTAAATGAGGACAAAATCAAACAGAGGGAATAAGTAATGCAGTTACAGAACTTCTAAATTGTGAAGAAGTCAGGACAATTGCCAGATAGAACAGACTATTTTAAATGGGAAGAAAATAATAAATCAAGGAGTAATCTCAAAGAAAAATAATAAATCTTCACATCAAAATGAAAAAAAGGACAGGCACAAATATTTAGCAAATACTAAAACAATAGCAATGAAGGAGATGAAAACACAAGTCAGAAACAAAATGAGCTCAGCACAGAAAATTATATGGAAGAAACAAATCAGCAACACCACAAAAAAAAAAAAAAGTACATCAATGAATTCATACTTGTTGATAAGCCACCAACTTGACCTTATGGACATCTATAGAGCACTTCACCCAACAAGAGCAAAACATACATTCTTTCACAGCACACATGGAACATTCTCCAGGATTGAACACATGTTAGGACACAAAGCAAACCTCAAAAAATTTAAGAACATTGAGATACTGCAAGACATCTACTCAGATCACAATGCTATAAAGTTAGAAATCAACACTAAGAAGATCGATGGAAAATGAACAAACACTTGGAAACTGAATAATACCCTCCTCAAACACCACTGGGTAACAGAAGAAATAAAAAACAAAGTTAAAAAATTCTTTGAATCAAATAAGAATAAAAACACATACCAAAATCTTTGGGACACAGCAAATGCAGTGCTCAGAGGGCAACGTATAGCAATAAACGCACTCATCAAAAAAGAAGAAAGAGCCAAAATCAACACCTTAACCCAACATTTCTAACAAATAGAAAAAGAGCAGCCAAAAAAGAAAAAAAAACCTACAGTCACCAGAAAAAAAGAATAAAGATTCGAACAGAAAATATTGACACAGAAAATAGAAAGACAATATAGAAAATCAACAAGATTAGAAGGTAGTTACTAGTACAGATTAATAAAATCGACAAACTACTGGCAAACTTAACAAAGGAAAAGAAGGAGAAGATGCAAATAACATGAATAAGAAATGAAATGTGTGACATTACAACAGAACCAACAGAAATAAAAAGAATGATGTCAAGATACTATGAAGAACTGTACTCCAACAAATTTGAAAACCTAGAAGAAATGGAAGATTTCTAGAAACACACTACTTACCTAAACTAACACAGACTGAGGTGGAAAAGTTGAACAGACCCATAACAAAAGAAGAAATTGAACAGGTCATTAAAAAAATTACCAATAACAAAAAAGAATCCTAGCCCAGACGGTTTCACTGGAGAATTCTACCAATCATTCAGAGAAGAGCTGACACCAATCCTACTCAAACTATTTTCTGTATCAGAACATAGAAAAGGATGGAATCCTCCCTAACTCATTTTAGGAAGCAAGCATAACCAAAACCAGGCAAAGATACCAACAGAAAGGAAAACTACAGACCAACATCCCTCATGAATATAGATGCAAAAATCTGCAACCAAATCCTAGCCAATAGACTCCAACAACATATCAACAAATAATATCATGACCAAGTAGGATTCATACCAAGTATGCAAGCATGGTTCAATATTAAAAAGCAATCAACATAATCCCTCACATAAGTAAAATAAAGCAAAAGAATCACATGATCATATCAATAGATACAGAAAAAGCATTTGAAAAAATTCAACATCCATTCCTCATTCAAAAAAAAAAAAAAACTCTCAGAAAAAATAAGAATAGAAGGGAAATTCCTCGACATACTAAAGCACACAGATGCAAAACCAACAGCCAATATTATTC